GTGGTGGTTCCCAGCATCTACATGGTGGCTCATAACTCTTTGTAACTCCAGTTCCAGAGGATATGCTGCCCCCTTCTGGCCTTCATGGGTGCTGCATGCAAGTGGTACAGAGGCATTCATGCAGCTAAAACATTCCTACCCATAAAATAAAAATATTTTAAAAGTTATTAAGCAATTTCTTTTTCTTTTCCATATTCTCGAGTGTGTGTGTGTGTGTGTGTGTTTGTTCAGGCCTTATGGAGGCCAGAAGAAGGTGTAGGATTCCCTGGCTCTAGAGTTATGGAATTATGGACACTTGTGAGGCACCCAATATAGATGCTGGGGGCTATGAATTAAACTTAGGTCCTCTGAAAGAGCCATAAACTCTCTTAGCTGCTGGACCAGGTCTGTGGTTTCTCGTTTCTGTCCTTTCATCATCGAGATGACAGGGTGGCTCTAGAGATACCTTGTACAGAGTAACAATCTGATAAGGTAAAGCCAGGAGCCACTGTGTTTGCACAGGATTTAATAATTTCCTCTTCCTGTAAGTGAGGCTTCTGGTGAGAGTCCTAGGAAACTTGCAGGGTGACAGCTGGGAAGGGGGACAGTCTTTAAGCAGTCATCAACTGTGCTGGGATTCTTGCCTCTTCGCTGATGAGATACTTCAACTGGACTCTAGAGTAAGGCGCTCCCTTCTGCTCTCATGCCACGACAGTTTCCCCTATTGTCTATCCTGCCTTGGTTTCCATCTCTGACATGTTGATCTGTTCATCGTCATGACCCTTGAGAGTGGAAGACCCACTTCCCACAGCTCCTGTGCTGAACAGGGACACAGGGCTTACTCTAGGGAATCAAGAACCTCAATGTATGTGTTCAAAAATACCACCTGAGAGGCCGGAGCTTGGGGAACGAAGGGTTGTCATGTGAAGGAAATCTGAAAGAGATGATGTCATTATTCAAGACGTTAAACCACATAGACAATAAAGCATGCCACTGAGATTAGAGCCCAAAATTGCAGGGTCTCTTTATCATGATAACCATCTGCTAAATATCTGATAACCAGGGTGCTAATAAACCATAAAGCTTAGGGCAACAACTGACTGAGATTTAGTTTCATTTTGGATGACTGAGGATACACTGTCTCAGTTTTCCCAGTTTCCTTTCTGTTGCTGTGATGAAATATCCTGACAAATAGCCACTTAGGGAAGAAGGGGGTTACTTTTGCTCAGGATCCTAGGTTAAAGCCCACGCTGTAAGGAGATCACAGAGGCAGGAGCTTGAAGCAGCTAATCACAGCAAGCCCAAGAGATGGGAACAGAGAGAAACGAATGCACACATGTTTATAGCACCCGGCTTGCTTTCTCTCTTCTCACACGGTCCAGGGAATGCTGGCTGATCTTCCCACATCAACTAAGTCAAGTAAGATAATCTGCCCTCCCCCCACAGGTCTGCCCTCCCCCCACAGGTCAACCTGATCTGACAGTTGTCATTGGGAGCTCTTCCCAGGAAGAGTGGAGTCTAGAGAGGCACTATCCATGAGAAAAAGGGTGTATCCTGGAGCAAAAGCATCCATTTCCTGAAAACCAGTCCATTCCCAAGCTTTCGAGACTTCTTAGATCACCTTGTAGAATCAGAATTGAAACACAGATCAGTGTCTCCGCCCAGTTAATTACACATAAATATTTTGATTTGATTTTTCTATTTAAATTTAAAATGAAATGGCCACCAAGAAATTAAAAACCCGGGGAATAAAAATTTTCAATTCCCAGGAAGCATACTGGGCTCCTTCAGAGGGAGCCACTGACAATGAGTCATTGATCAGTGACGACCCTGACTTGGGGAGGATAAGTCTGGAGCTGAGCCAGCTCCTGCAACAGCTGGCTGGAGGACATAACAAGGCCAGAACTGAGCTGGTTTCTGAAATGCTCCAAGGTCTCCCAAATAATGAAACAACTTAGTAACCAATCAAAATTGTACCAACGTCACTGCTTTGCCCCTATCAATCATATTAGATGTTACCTAACCCTTCTGGAAAATTCCTCTAGTTTTTCATAAAAGGGAGCCTGCAAGCCCCTAGAATTGTCGCCATTTAAATGAATGATTGATCCCCTGAATGCTGGTTGTTTCCGCAGATTAAACACTCTTTACCTTTGCATGGTACTTGAGTCTGGAGTCTTCCTTTCAGTCATTCTTGGACCCTGACAAAAGCTCATGTTAATGCTGGAGAAGAATCTGGGCTCACCAGATACCTATGTTTGCTCCCACATAACTGCGAACTTTCTCACCTTTTGCATGAGTTCCTTGAAATAATGACACTGAGACTTCTTGTATGTGAATAAATGCTTAGGCCAATAGCTTTGCCTCTGTTCCTCAACTTGCTCATATCTTTTTTTTAAAATAACTTTCTCATATCTTAATTACTCATTTATTTTATTCTAACTCATGCCACATGGCTGGTTACCTGGTCCTCACTTTCATATGACTGTCTTCTTCTGTGTCTGGTACTAATCTTGTCTGGTACTAATCTCCTGAGCCTTGAGCCTTGTCTCAATTCCAGCAATTCTCTCTCTCTACCAGAACTTTCACCTCCCTATTTTCTTGATAGGTGAATGCTTTTACTCAGTGCAGAAGAGATTATCTCTACACTCCCCCATTGTGGTCCCCATTGATTAAATCTCCTTTTTCTGACCCTTGCTACCCCTTTGTCAAACTCCAGTTATACTATGAACTAAAAAAAAAAAAGAGCTGATTTAACTATTTTACTTTACTTAATAAATAACTTATAAGCCAATTGGTTCCATGAAAATAGTAAACAAACAAACAAAAACAAAAACCAAGCAGATGCAATATACATAGTCATACATAAAGACTGGTTAAGAGAAACCAAGTATTTTGTACTTTTCATTTAGATTTATCCCTTGTCAGTTTTAAGTTTGCTTATCTGTTTTGTTTGTTTTTGTTTTTTTTCTTTTCTTTCCTTTTATCTTTTTCTTATTGGTATTTTGAGACAGGGTTTTTCTGTGTAGCTCTGGATGTCCTGGAACTCGCTCTGTAGACCACACTGGCCTTAAAATCACAAAGACCCTCCTGCCTCAGCCTCACAAGTGCTGGGATTGAAGGTACCATCAACACCCAGTTTATCTATTTTCTTTATAGCACTAAGCAACCTTTAACCTTCAGTCTGTAGTTCCAAAGGTTAGGTCTTTTTAAAAGAAACACTTACATCTTAAGGACAGAGTCTAACTTGATCATTAAGGCTCAAGGAGATACCCAGTAAAAGGATAAAAGTCAAACTGGAACCTCATCTACATTTTACTTTTTAACTTTATAGTGAAGCCAAACTACACATGCTTGTGTATCTAAAAGAAAACAGGAAGAGATAAAATAATATAGATTCCTGGATCAAACATCAGTCCATGCAGTTGCCAACCTGGAAGGGTTCCATTCCTGGATCAGGAATTTCTGGCCCATCCAGGGTAGTCATTACTGGGTACGGAACAGCACTCCCTATAGGCCAAACGTTGACCTAAAATGACTTTGAGAAAGGCACATCCATCTGTAAAAGCACACCTTACAAGAGCTTTAAGTCAGTAGATGAGCTTCAAAGGTTGACTTTTATACTCTTACTGGGTATCACCTTGAGCCTTAATGATCAAGTTAGACTCTGTCCTTAAGAGGCTATCTTTACCCTAGTTGATCAGACACATGGTCCATCTAGTATAAAGCTGGGGAACTGATGGATCAGATACCACTGTCTGTCTAGTGTAAAGTTTAAGGACAGATACACAGAGCAGCTGAGGTTTTAACAAACTCAAATGAACACACGTGGCATCTAAATTTACCTATTTTAGCCTTAAAAGTTATGGAAGTTCTTCAAAACATCATTTGGTACAACTTTAGAATTAAAGACTAGGGAGAAAAGTTACAGGTTGCAATCCAGCACTGAGGAGGGGAAGGAGGCAGGCAGAGCTGTCCTTGAAGACATTTATAAAGCAGACCAGTAAATCAGCAGCGAGGAGGCAGAGTTCCCTTTGCTGAGGTTATTAGCTTGCCAGAGAGAAAATCAGAGTCTGAACAGTGAGTAGATAGGAAAAGAACAGAGAGTGCCTCTAAGGTTGAGGATCAAGAGAGAGTAGAACAACAGTCATTCCTAACAGGCTATAGATCCAACGTACAGCTTTGGGGGATAGATTTGGACTTAGCACATCAACCGCAATGTGAGCAGGGCATCAAGACAGGAAGTGATCAGCTCTCCTGCATGTCTTCCAGGATGAGCAGACCAAGTTCCTTCTAATTTAACAACAGGGCATTGATAAATCTAAGAGATTTCTATCTTCAGTGCCAGTGGCACTCATCAAACACTAAGTAGGTCTCCAGCTAGAAAAACAAGAACGGAGACCCAAGATGAACATACAAGCCACAGTTAGTGTTCTAACTTCATTTCTGTTGCTGGGCTAAAAGTTTACTCCTAAATAGCAAGTGGAAACGTGAACACACCTTTAATCCCAGCCCTCAGGAGGCAGAGACTGACTCTGAGGATTCTCTGTGAGTTTGAGGCCAGCAGTGGTCTACAGAGCAAGTTCAAAGCTAGGCACGGGGACATTGTGGGACACTGTCTCAAAACAAAAACAAACAAAATCCTTAAATAAAAAGGTTCAGGAGGCACGCGGTTAGGCTGATAATGAAGTCCAATGCCAAGTGCTTACACTTTCAGGCTTTTCAGTTGAAAGATTCATCCCAACAAAAGACTAGTTTTTACATCAGGAAAAACATTCTTGTCTGGAAAACGGGACACGAAAATCAAACCAAAGGCGGAAGAGTAAAGGTTTCTACTTTGGGGTCAGGAGCTCCAGCAGGTAAGTATCGCAGCCAGCACGGACGGAGACGGAGGAGTGGGTGGGAAGCCGCGACCCTCTCCTCCCCGCAGCCAGCCTGGGCGGGCGCCACCGAGCGCGGACCTCCTGCGCACCTCCCATGCGCCTAGAGCGTCCGCGCCGGACCGCGGGGCGGCGCACTTCCGGCTGCGCGTCGCCGCTCGCTTACTGCTGGGCCTCGGAGCCGACCTGCGCCTCCCTCGGCTCCGGCGGGCCTCGGGGAGAGGGTGAGTTGGGCGCCCGAGGGGGGCGGGCGCGCTTCCGCGGAGCTCGCAGGCCCGCGGGGCGGGCGCAGATGTCCCGGGAGCGCCGGACAGCGAGGACGCGCCGCGGGGTGTCCCGGGCTCGCAGCGGCCACAGGCCTGGCCACTCACTCTCGGGCCCACGCAGCTCCGAAGTGAGGGGCGGCGGTGTCACCCGCCTGCACCCCTGGCCCGGCGCTGCCAGCCTGGAAACTTAGGAGCGCCGGTCTCCACTAGTCCCTCAGGTGCTGTGGGATGTCCCAAGGGTCAGCCGAGATTGTGATCTGCAGTCAGGCCCGAGGTGACAAGTGACAGCATTGTCAAGACTGAAATTGCGCACTATCTCGAACGAGGATCATGGTCTTGAAAAAGCGAGCAGCTGCTTTTTTTTTTTCTTCCAAGAAGACAGGGACCTAATGTGATTTGCTCACTTTAAATTCCTAATTGCCTGAGCGATAAATGTCACAAAACATACACCATTGCTTAAATAGTTGCTGTTTGCCAGCTGACCTACTGGGAGGGTTTTGATTATTTAGTCTAAATTTTTAAGCCTTTTATTGGGGGAAAATGTCAAGCATACATGGAAAAAAAAATTCCCAATTCATAGTCAGGCTTGTTTGACCCATTACCTTCTTTCCCGCTGTTGTTTTAAAGTGATTATGAAATGTACTACTCCATATACTAAATGCTTGTCTGTAAGATGCAATGGCTGGATTTAAACATAAAATCATAATCAGTCTCGTTAGCGCTTCATATTGTCTATTATCCAACTAGTGTTTACATTCTCCCTGTTGTCTTCTTCCCTTTATCAGTTTATCCAAATCAGGAACCAAAAAAGCTACACACACACATACTTCAAGAGTAATATTTCTTGCCTCTTGCTCTCCCAATCCCCTCTTTATTTTTTTAACCCCTAGCTAAGCTGCCAATTCAAGTGTCCTACCTGGTTTTCCCTACAGCTTGCACATTACTTTTTAATCTCTGTGGAATTCTTTTGTGAACTGGTATTTAGCTTTTTCTGGTTCTGGCCCTGCCTGCTTTCTACCTGAAAACCTCCTGGAGGCCAACTGTGTATTTCATACTGCATCACTGGGAGTTAAATAAGATCCCATCCCTCTTTATGGACCTTTCTAACAGGTAACCAGGTAATTGACCAAGCAGGTACATAGAGAGATGTCAGCTAACAACTACGGCAGGAGACTTGTCACCTTGTGGCTATACTTAATGAATATAACAATGGATCTTGACAGTGATCATTTGTAGATATTTACATCAGGAAAGGTGACATACTAGAACCGAGTCAGGCCTGTTGGAAGCACCTCATGCCACTTAGAGCTTCTGGAGCCCTGGGGGTCAAGGTGGAGTGTAGATGAATTAAGGTTGCCCATGCGTTGAGAATTTGAAGCTTTGTGAATACTCTGTGCTAATGTATTGTACTGACATTTCTAGTCCTGTATGTGTTTGAAATTTCTCCCTTTTTTTGTTTGTTTTGGTTTTTGTTTCAAGACAAGGTTTCTCTAGCCCAGGTTGGCCCTCAGACTCTCACTCAGTTCCTGTACTTTTAGCCCCCCCCCATGCTATGACCTGAAGTATTCACCACCACATCCAGTTGAATCTTGTGGGTGTGTATGCGTATGTGCGTAAATGCATATGGAGGCCAGAATCAGTGTTGCATGGATTCCATACCACTCTCTGCCTTAAGTTTTTGAAACAAGCTCTTTCTATCACAGATTGTCTAGCCTGGTTAGCCAGTGAGTTCCAGGGATCTGCTTGTCTACAACAAGGCCTAGGGTTATATACACACCCCACCAGACCCTGGTCTTTATGTGAGCACTGGGGAGCTGAATATAGCTTTTCTTGAGTCAGGCAAGTTACTCAGCTGAGATAGCTCTCTAGCCTCTGAACTTTTCAGTTTGGAGTTTTTTGTTTGTTTGTTTGTTTTGTTTTTGGAGACAGGTCCTTTCTATGTAGCCTTAGGTGGCCTGGAGTATGTAGACCTGGTTGGTCTTGAGTTTACAGAGATCTGCCTGTCTTTGTCTTCTGAGAGCTAGGATTAAAGGCATGTCCCACCATGCCCCACGTAAAACAAAACAAAACAAAGCAAACCCACAACACTTTGTTTTAAATGTTGACTAATTTCAGGTTATGAGCCTTAGGTTGTAGTTTTCTAACAAAGAGTTGTTTGTCTGTTTGCTGGGCTGGTTTGAGAGTATCTCATGTAGCTCAATCTGGCCTTAAAGTTACTATGTAGCTAAAGCTGGCTTGTTTTGATCTCCCAGATCTTCTGCTCTATCTTCTGAGTGCTGGGATCACAAGTGTGCACCACCTAGCATGCTTCACTAAACAGTTCTTAAATGTGACTCCATGTTAGAGTCCAGGGGAAACATACTCTCAGACTTAGCATGTGCCTTGCTCACAGGATTTCCTGTGTAATAGTTCTACGATAGGACCTAATCGTTGGTGTTTTAAAGCTCCCTGGCTAATTCTGATATGTCCCAATCACTTATCCATTATTCGTTAGGGATTGCAAAGTGTTTAGTGAAGTCGGGGTAGGAGACTCAGCTGGAGAGATTAAGAAGTATTATCTGGTGGAAATGCCCAGCCAGGAGCCCTGCCTTGAGACTTATTTCAGTTCTGATGACTTGGACTCGGAGCTAAACTCGCATGTGCATATCGTCTTGTCTTTTGATTCATCTTTTTCTGTAAATTATAGCATTGCTCTTGGCAAAGCAGAGGCCCGTTCTGGCCAGAACGGTAAAGAAACTCATTGCCTTCATCAGTTTCTGTCTGCCAGTTTTTCAGTGGAGTGGCAAACAACATGAACCTTAGCTTCCAGTAACAATTACGTTTCATTCTTCCTTCTGTGTTTTACTAGCTTTTAAGTTAACTTTCTTCTGTTTATCTCTACCTCTTGAAAAGTGCAAAACGATAAGGAGATAATTCAGTAAGCCTATGTACACTAAACTACTTAATTGTCAAAAGGTAAGCGTGGTCTAGAGGCAGAAATGTGGAATAATTCATGGAAGGGATGCTAACAGTAATCTTAAGGCTTGGATAATTACCTCATGTAAGAGGGTGTGAAGGGTAAGGTGAGTGGGGAGCCCTCCCCAAAAGGGAAAGGAACACTAAAGGACATGTAGTTATAAAAGCATATTTGTCCTTTTGATACATTAAAAACATTGTCACTGTTAAATATAAAGCAGAAATAAATAAGGCATTGTTCATTACAACTAAAAACAATCCAAAGATTTAAGTTAGCAGATATTCTCCAGTCTATCCTCCATCATTCTAAAGACCCAGGAGGCTGGCCATCGTAATAATACATTGTACACCCCTCACACCACACTGTCGTGTGTAAGTGTGGGGCCTGAAGCTTTGTTCTAAAAAATAAGATTATACTGGGGCCATTTATAATTTTTCTCATTGTTATCCTTGTAGTTACAGAGCACAGTGTTTGTTGCCTATAGAATAATATAATTTACCAGAATAATTAACATTAAGAAGTAAACTAGTTATTGTTGACATAACTGTAACTTGTTTCTATATTTTAGCCCATCCAAAAGTACCATAGTAAGCATTATTGTACAAAAATTTTTATTTCTATAGATTCCAGAAAGTGAGATTGCTTGGATTTGTAATCAACAGTATCATCATCATTACTGGTAATATTTATTGTCAAGTTATTCTCCCACAGAGTAATAGCAGTTCACCCCTCCACCATCGTAACTTGTGATCACACCTGTTACCCCCTTTCCCATCGTCCCAACCAGCTTTGGCTACCGTTGCTCCCTTAGCATCTGGGAACCGATGTGTGGGAAATTGAGTCTCTGCTCAATTTGCATTTCTACTCGGGGCTGGGCCCTCTTCAAGCTTATTTGTACTTTGAATGCACTCTGTGATTTGATATGTATTCTCCTTATTTTTCCTTTTGTCAGTATTTTTCATTAAATGCATTTCCATAAACTAAAAGTTAATAGTTTATTTTCTTTATTATTGTGTGTGTATGTGTACACATGAGCTGGAAGGGGCGCATGTGCAGGTCAGAGTTGTGAGAGTTGGTTCTCTGTCTTGACCATGTGCCTTCTAGGGATTGAACTGGCGTCCTCAGGCCGGGCTGCAGGCTTCTTCCTCAGTGAAGCGCTTCTCAGTACTGCAGAGCCCTCTTCAGAGGCTTTAATCTCTTAAACACTTTTTACTTTCTTTAAGTTAAATTTTGAGAATTTCACTCACAAGTACTGTATTCACATCATTTCCACCCCTCCCTTTCCCCTTCCAGTTCATCCCTGTCCCCGCCCGCTTCACATTCATGGCCTCTTCTTTAGTGCTGTTGCTACCTACATATATACACGTGCATGTGTGTGTACACGGTCTACTGAATCCATTTCGTGTTGCTCACGTGTGCATACGCTTAGGGCTGACCAGGTGGGATTGCATAAGGAGGGAGTGGTGGAAGCCCTGAGTAAGTGAAGTCTGGAGTGAGTGTGTGCTGTTGACAGGGTACGGAGAAGTCCACCATAGCAGCACCCCTGTATGGCTTGAAGACTGCTCTACAGAGATCACAGTTACTGAGGTTAGCTAGACTTGCCTCCTCAATCCAGCACTGCGCCATAAACCCTGTGTCCTTGTTCAGCCATGTGCACTGATCCTCAGTGGTCAGCTCTATATAGTAAACGTCTGGGTTTGTCCATCAGAGAGCTCAGTCCGCCGACTCCAGCTATCTGTGGAAATCTGTGTATGTTTGTCTTGTCTTTGCTCCATTGCTACCTCAGTCAGGTCCGTTCCTGGATCCATGCAGGATGGAGCAGATAATCTATCAGGTGGCTGTCTCTGGAGAAAACTGGTTATTCCTCCCTAAGCACCCACTGATTGTGCCTCCTCGTCTAGGATGGGACTGCTTGTTACAGGCTGTGTTTAGGCAACTGTACTACTGAGACTTCCCTGTCACATTTAGAAGGCACTGCCCAGCAGCAGGCACAGCCCCCCACCCCCTTGTCATCTGGCTCTTACAGAAGTGCTTCTGCTCCTTTTGACATCTTCCCTCAGCCTGAGGTTTTGTAGATGTTAACCTTTTTTTTTTCCTGTGATTTCACTGAGTTTTGATACACAGATGTTACAAAATGCTGTACTGTGCAATAGATGAGTTTATTTTTCAATTTCAGAGCTTCTTGCCTTTGCAAGAAAGTCTTTGCACTCTCCAAAGTTATATCAAGATTGTCCTGCTTTTTTTCCCCTTGTAGTGGGGATAGAACCAGAGCATCTTTCATGTCAGGTAAAGGCTCGCCTATTGAACTATATTCCTGGCACTAGTTTTTAAGACATATTTTATCAGGATTTTTGTATTTAAATTTCTAACTCATGTGGAACTGGCTATTCATAGTTTTCAGCTGGCCTTCATTGTTGGGTGTGATACACATCTCCCATCACAGACACAGATCAGAGGTGGCACTGTGCCTAGATCTAGTGAGAACAGTGCCCAGAGTTGGCAGACGTCTGCACACTCACTAGGTTGCAGATCACAGAGACGAGATGGAGCGGTGGCTGGAGGCTTCTGGCAGAGCTCTTCTGGTTTGTGTATGAGGCCCGGTGTTCGGCCTCAGGACTTGAGGGGAGAAGGGCAAAGGCAAACTGACCAACCATGAACTGTCTTTGAGTGAAGCACATCATTTGCATTGCTGTGAAATACCAACACTGTTATATAGTACCTGGTCCTCCAGAAGGGACCACTGTGACCACCACTTGGTGAGCATGATCAAATACTGTCTCTTGTTTACACCCTTAGCCAAAACTAAACCCAAGTGGGGCTTACTGTTTATTAGGACTTAAGTGAACTAGTACAAAGTTTGGAGACATCTTGTAGAACTTCTCACCCTGCACATTTTCACTTATTCCTGTACTAAGTAACATTAGTCTGTTGATAAGTCTTAAGTTGATAAGCCAGTACTGACAATTATAAACAAACATTATTTGGGTTAGGCTGGAACCCCTGTTCATCCCCTGTACAAGCTGGGAAACCCCATCTGCCCTCCTTCCCCCAACCCTGTCTGCGCAGAGAAAACTCCAGGCTAACATGTCATCACCCCTTGTCTCTGAGATTCCCAAAACCCACCTAAGAAGCCCACTGAGGGGTTCAGTTTTTGACCATGTATGCACATAATTGCAGGTCCTAGCTGGTTTGTCATCACTCCTCACCTAAGCTCTATAAAAGCCCCTTGCTGTCGCCTAAGTGTAGACTTCCCTGACCTCCACCTGTGAGATCAGTGAACTCAAGAGAGCTGTCTCTCAATAAACTTGCCTTTATACTTCTGATTTGACTTCAGTTGGTTCATTTCATTGATAAAGAAACCTATTGATTTGAATTCTTGTATTGTGGTTGTGTGTACCAATATATAACATTTCTTTGCCTGTATATGGGGCACTGGCGTCGAAGCCAGAGCATTGTTCATTGCTGTGTAAGCACGTTACCCCAGGTTACATCTCCATATAATGGCATTTCTATATTGTGTCATATAGAATAGTTTTACTTCCTTAAACGTGTGCTTCCCCAAAAGGTAGTGGTGGTGAACGCCTTTAATCCCAATACCTGAGAGTCAGAGGCAGATGAATCTCAGGCCAGCCTGGTCTACAGAGATAGTTCCAGTACATTCATGGCTACACAGAGAAACCCTATCTTCAAAAACCAAATACCAAAGGAAAAAATGATTTTTCCTATTAATTCTTTTCTCCCTTACAACACTGGCAAACACTCTTCATTCTTCTTTCTCTGTAGTTTGCCTTTTAGAGACTGTCATAGGTTTGGAATTCAACTGTAGTGTTTTACCGGCAATGCCAGGGATTAGAGTGTGTGTGTGTGTGTGTGTGTGTGTGGTCAACTTGGAACTGATTCCCTTCACCAGTTCCAGTGTGCATTCTAGGGATAAACTCAAGTTGTGAGGCTTAGTAGCAAGTGGCTTCACCTCCTGATCCCCAAGCTATATGTGTTTGTGTGTGCTCAGTTACATAAGGTTTGGTGACTTGTAGTTTTAGCCAGTTAAGACCATGGCTGGGGTATAGCTAGTATAGAATACTAGCACCATTTGCAGCTACCAAACAATTTATCATTCCCAGAGCAGTAGCAGGAATTGAAGGTATAGCTCCGTGCAGAGCACATGTTGAGCACGAAGGTGTGGATTCTATCCCCAGCACCAAAAGTCAACCAATGGTAAATCTCAGAGGAGCAGGCTTTTGGTATAGTGATTTTCTAATGACCCTCAGTGATGTTTTTGTTGCAGGGTAGAAGATGTCTATGGATGTGACCTTTCTTGGGACAGGAGCAGCATATCCATCACCGACCCGGGGCGCCTCTGCGGTGGTTCTTCGGTGTGAGGGCGAGTGTTGGCTCTTTGACTGTGGGGAGGGAACACAGACCCAGCTTATGAAAAGCCAGCTTAAAGCAGGTTAGTGTGCACCCAGCTTACTTGGGAGTGCCCTCTGTTGTGTTGCATGCTCTTGGCTGTCAGGAACCCTGTTGTTCAGTAACAGGCCTAAAGCTGTATCCACTTCATAGAACTCTGTCTGGCAAGATTTGGAAGAGTGTCAGGCACTCAGCAGTGCTTGCTGAATGTCATGTATACCTTTACTTGCCTTTCATTTATCCTGTGTCAAGAGTGAGGATTTATGGAGGCCCAGGCATGCTGGATGAGGAGAGGAAGAGCAGGTGTAGCAGTCGGTCTCTGCCCTAAACAAGGGAGTGATGCTGCACTTGTGTCCGCTAGGAGATAATGTCATGGGAGAATGCAAAGGGCAGTAGGTGGTCAGGGAAGGATGAGGATTCTTCCTCCTACCATTCTGGTAGTCATCTCAGAGAAGTTTATCTTGTTGAGAGAGGAGAAATCATTCCAGCTTGAGGGAATGGAGTGGTGATCCAAGACCAGTAGCACCTGGAGGGTGAATCCAGTGGTGAAAGTCTCTGGCTAGGCTCAGGCAGACCTGGGTATTAGGCTCAGTTGTATCCCAGGCTTGACCTTAGCTTAAATATGCATTTCTTGTCTCAATAAACAGGGTTACAAACTCTGCCTAAAAGAGATGTTATAAACCTGGTGTGTGGTGCTTGCTGGGAATCATAGCACCCAGGAAGCAGAAAGAATTGTGAGTTAGAGGCCAGCCTTAGCTACACAGGGAGACCTTGTCTCAAAAAAGATTGCTAAAAGAAATATATAATATGTATTATATATTTCTATCTCTCTCTCTTTACACACATGCGTGTGTGCGCGCACACACACACACACACACACACACACACAAATTCATATCCTACATGGTTGCCTCTGTGTCATTATTTAAATCTTTAAAAATAATTTTTATTAGCTTGTCAATTATTATGTTTTCATCATTTAAATCTCATCTAAAAGGCTATTTTCTTAGTGTCCTTGGTATCTGGAACTGTGTTATTTATGTAGTTTGTTTCTGTGTTTGCACATGGATGTACAGTGAGGTACATTCAGTGACACAGTGCCTGGCAGATGCTAGTAGGCACTGTTCATTGTGAACAGATGGACATTGAGGGCTTCCACTTTTGAGGTCTTCGTAAATCAGAGCTGCTACAACTTATCAAAAGGCGTGGCACTTGATATTTAAAGACACATACTTGTAGGGACCAGGGACCAGGCATCAATCATGTAATGATACAAGAAATGAGCTATTTTAAAGTATAGCATAAAAGAGGGGCACTAATTGTAGAATACATGCTTAGGATGTGTAACACCGTGGTTCCAGTTCCCAGCACTGAAACCAAAATCAATCAAAAGAAATGATTATAAAGGGATTCCTAAAAGCATTGCAAAGCAATGCTAAAAATGTTAATGGGACTCAGTAGTACAGCACGGATTTAATATGTGCGGGCTCAGGATTAAGCCCCAGCACTAACCAAGGAAAAGAATTAAACTGATTTACATATGTTTATGTCTGGGAGGACTGGAAATTATAGTGGTGCAATTGGCAAAGTACATATCTAAGTACTTTGTATTGTCACAATTTTTATTTTGAGGTAAGATTTTGCTAAGTTATCCATTGTCTCTCCTTGAATTTACCCAGTAGCCTAGGTAGGTCTTGAATTTGTGGTCTTCCTGATTCAGCTTTCTCAGTAGTTGGAATAATTGGCCTGTGCCACCAGGTCTGGTGTGTGTGTGTGTGTGTGTGCGTGTGTGTGTGTACAAGCTAGAGTGGAAAGGAGTGAGGGAAGGAAGGAAAACATTGCTGAGGCTGCTGTGGTGACACAGTCCTGCTAGCCCAGCACTTAGAGGGTAGAAGCAAGAGGATTAGGAGCTCAAGGTTATCCTCTATGTTTGAGTCAAGCCTGGGCTACATAAGACTTTGTCTCAAACAAACAAAAATTTCTTAATTATAAAATTTTTGAACATATATTCTTATTGAAGAAAGTATAAATAAGGAAGCCCAAGTCTTCCTCACATAGAAGCCTCCCAAACCTCTCTCATTCCTTGGAGGCAGAGCTCTTTGGAGTCCAGGTGGCTTTGAACTTGCTGTGTAGCCTGTGGCTTTGAGTATCAGTCCTCCTGCCTCTACATCCCAAGTGCTGGGATTACGAGCATGCACTGCTACATCCAGCTTTATGTCGAACTGTGAGCTTTGTGAACGATAGGCGAACACTATCAACTGAGCGGTGTTCCTAGATCCCATAGTTCTATACTCTGTACATATTGATGTGATAATGGTATGAGTATGTGTATAGAAGTATGTGTTATTTAGATGAATGGAACCACACTTCGACATTAGCTGCTTTTGTTAGCAAAACAGTACACACACATACACACACACACCCCATACACACACATACACACACACACATACATACACACACATACACACACACATACACACACACATACACACACACACATACATACACACACACATACACACACACACACACACACACACACACCATACAAATCATATACTATAGAACAGTAGGTTTAATTTCATCATCATGTCCAACCAAGAATGCTTAGTGTTCTGCTCCACTGTGGGCAGTGCTTCCCCACTACTTCCTTCTTCCTAGGGGAAGGAAGTGATGTGATTTTTTACTCTTCAATGGGTAGCTTCCTCATACCTTCCATAACTGTGGTTGCCAATCCTTGTATCTCAGAAATCACATTTCCCGAAAATGAAATGTCTGCCCTTGAAACTGGTAGCTTTGGGAAGCAGTTTTCCTCTTTCTCTCTCTCTCTGTCTCTGTCTCTGTCTCTCTCTCTCTCTCTCTCTCTCTCTCTCTCTCTCTCTCTCTCTCTCTTTCTTTGCCTCGCTTGCTTTGGGTTCCCAGACTGTTTGTGTTCAGCTTTGACTTTGCTTTTCAGGAGATAGTGAGAAGGCCCAAAAAGTCTGATGTTGGCAGTTTTGAGGCCAACGTGGGATCTGGATTCAGTGACCACTGTAGGTTTTTTTTTTTTTTATCTCTAGAGGCCTTGAGTCGTACTGAGAGGCTGCCTGGAAAGGGGAAAGGGGGAAATTTAGGAAACATCCTTTCATTTGAAATTTAAAAAAAAAAAGGCTAAGAAGAGGCCTGGGGTAGCTCAGTGATTGGGGGCTTACTGAATGGGTGTGGCACCCTGGATCCAATCCTCAGCACCACACAGAAATTACCAAACAAGACCTGAAGAAGAGAAAAGCAAAAGTAGCATGCTGAATAGTCATCTATAGGGAGAGAAGAGCCTTGTGAAATTAGAGATCACTTCTGTGGGTCCTTGGGGGACCCAAGTCAGCCTCTCAGCCAGCCACTGTTCTCAGCCAGTGCAGCCTGGGTGTAGTCGTTCTGGGAAGACTGTTCTGAGAGCATTTGCTGTCAGAACAAATCACAGTGTGATAAACTGTTCCTGTTCTTTTATGGTATCAATAAACTGCTCCTGTACTTTTATGGTATCGTATAGTTCAGATAGGTGGCCCTTGAGCCTGTTCTACTGGAAATGTGCTGGTTACGGTTGTTACTTTCAAAATGCCTGTGGAACATCTCAGAAAATGCTTATGTGGCATCCTGCCATTTACCAGAAGTAAATTCAGTTTACCATTAGCTAAATAGAGTTAGAACTTAAATGGTGTACACTGACAAGGCTATTGTGTAGGTTCAGACTGGAGACAAGAGCTGGGCCCATGGGCCCTCAGATAGTATGGTCAGGATCTATCTGCCTTTACTTTGCTGCATGCCAGCCAGTACCTGATGTGCTTGCCTTCCCTCTGCTCTTCCATGTTCCCTTCTGCCTCTCCTATTCCTCCTCCTCCTTTTCTTCTTCTTTACCAGGTCCTTGTCCTGTTTGCCCTTCCCCCACATCTTCACTGGGACACACATCTCAGTCTTAGTTGGTGAATCCCTGCTCAGGAAGGAAACCTTAACAGGCAATATTAGGTTTAGACCTGGTCCAGTCAACCGGAGCCAGTAGAACATTTCCTTTTGCTTTAGGTACATGTTTCTAGTCTCAGAGGGAACCATGGGAGACAGTGTATCTGAGGCCTATTTAGTTAGGTGAGTTATCTTGATATACTTTTAAATTTTATTTTTAAAAAGTAGGGAATATATAGGAAATCAATTGGAAAGCTGTAAAACACTGTAATTTGAAGATAGTAATGGAAATTTAAACCAGCCACTAAAGCTAGGCTTGGCAGTTCAAACCTATTATCCTGTCATTTGGAAAGCTAAGGCAGGAGTATGCCACAGATTCAAGGCTGCCTGGATTACACAGTGCTTTCCAGGCTAGCATGGGCTATAGCATGAGATCTTGTCTCAGAGAGCAACCAAGTAGGGCTGGGGAGATGTCTCAAGGATAAGAGTGCATGTTATGCAACCACAGGGTCGTGAGTTCATATCCACAGTATCCATGTAAAAAACTGGGCATGGCTGTGTGGGGCCTGTAGCCCTAGCATTAGTGGGTGCTCAGGGAGGTAGATCCTGGGAGTTCAGTGGTCAGCCAGCCTAGCCAACACGGTGAGCTTCTGGTTCAGGAGAGACCCTGTCTCAAAGTCCTAAAGTTAGGCATCCAGTCTCCTCCTCTGCTCTCTGCATGCATGTGTCCAACATACTCATGTACAACACCATGAACACCTCTCCCCACACACATACACACAGAACCAATCGATCAGCCAAGTAATAAAGTCTATTTTCTCTTCTCTGAAGTCGTACAGCAAAACAAAATGAATAAATAAGTTTATAGTAACATACAGAATATGTAATTTCAGTTGACTACTCTTTATGTAAGTTGTTAGGCTTGGTTTAAATTCAATGTCTGTGGGACAGGATGTTCCTCGGTGGCAGCACAGTCATAGAGCAACTGTCTTGTCTGCACAAAGTGAATCCAGCATAGGGCTGGGATGGGGATGCTCAGGAAAATATTTGTTTTGGTTTTTATTTCTGAAAACTTTTCTAATATATTCCTCGCCTCAATCAAAAGGGAGAATTACCAAGATCTTCATCACGCATCTCCATGGAGACCACTTCTTTGGCCTTCCAGGCCTCCTCTGTACCATCAGCCTGCAGAGTGGCTCTGTGGTCACCAGGCAGCCTATTGAAATCTACGGCCCTGTCGGGCTTCGGGACTTTATCTGGAGAACCATGGAGCTCTCTCACACGGAGTTGGTTTTTCCTTACGTGGTTCATGAGCTAGTTCCTACAGCTGACCAGTGTCCTATGGAAGAGCTAAGAGAATTTGCACATGTGGATGAAGCAGACGGCTCTCCCAAAGGACAAGGACGAACTATCTTGCTAGATGCAGAAGAAAACTCATACTGTCTGGTTGATGACGAGCAGTTTGTGGTAAAAGCATTTCGCCTCTTTCATAGAATTCCATCCTTTGGCTTTTCAGTTGTGGAAAAGAAGCGTGCTGGAAAACTCAATGCACAGAAGCTGAGAGATCTCGGTAAGCACAGCCTCCTCTTCACCTGAGCTTCCAGCGGGAAGCCACTGAGGGTGTTGGGGAGCCTGTTTCCTGAGCTCACTTCCTTGGCCGAAAGGTGCTGTTCAGAACAAAACTCAAATTTTTAACCTATTTGAATCTTTTCTTGTTAGCTCCTTGGATTCACACTCCTTTTTCTTTCCTTATTGTCTGCACTGAGGGTTGAACCTAGGATGCGCACTAAGCAAGCACTATCTACCCTGAGCTCTCTCCCCCTTTACTCTGTTTTACCTGATCTAAGTTGTCCAGGGTGGCTTTGAACGTGTGATCATTCTGAGAGCTGGGTGCAGGCTGTGCGACCAGGCCCAACCCTGTCTTAGTTGGCAGAGTGGTTTGAATTGGGATGATGTGGCCAGGATTTATTTTTGAGCTTTCCTTTCGCTGTACTTGGGCCATGCTGGGGTTCAAGCCTATGGCCTCCCATGTGCTCCACCACTAAGCTGCTGCCCATCTTCTTATCTCATTTTTGAAGTTACTTTTAAAAATCTGTTTCTGTTTTTATTTTTGTCTGATCCAGGGTTTCATTCTGTAGCCCAGCCTGGCCTACAACTCACTGTATAACTCAAATTCAAACTCATGATCCTCCAGCCTCTGCCTCAAGATTGGTTGGAATTCGAAGTGTGCACAGTTCTGAGGTATGTTTTCTTGTGTTTTTGTTTTTGTTTTTGTTTTTCGAGACAGGGTTTCTCTGTGTAGCCCTGGCTGTCCTGGAACTCAGTCTGTAGACCTGGCTGGCCTTGAACTCAGAAATCTGCCTGCCTCTGCCTCCCGAGTGCTGGGATTAAAGGCGTGCGCCACCACTGCCTGGCTGAGAAGTATGTTTTCAATGACATCTTTGTGTGAGGTGTGTCTGTGTGTGTCCTCTCACCCATACGTGTACATGCAGAGGCCAGAGGTGACTTCCTTCCTTTTTGATACAGGGTCTCTCAGTGAACTTGGAGCTCGTTGTTTGCCTAGGCTGACTACTCAGCAAGCCCAGAGGATCTGCCTATTTCTGTTCCCCAATGCTGAGGTTGCAGATGCAGGCACCACCTCGCTTTTCACACGGGTGCTGGGGATCTGAACTCAGGCCTTCTTGCTTGCCCAGCAAGCACTTTACCCACTGAGCCGTCTCCTTGGTCCTTCAGTGACATCTTCAGAGTAAAGATTTGTGCCATAGGTCTTTATAATAGCAGCCAACTACCTCAGGAGTTTCTTTCCTATTCACCTTGCCTACTCATTCAATCTTGATGAAGTTAGTTTGGTATTCACAACACTGCACCTTACCCAGTTTTACATACCATGCTTCATCATAGTGGGACAGAAACACAAAGAAGGGCACTGTTCCCTGAAGGCTTTGTGGTTCTCCTTATGAGGCCATGGTGCTTCAGTGAGGAAACCTCAGCACCTCTGAAGAAATGGAGGCCAGATCCGTCCCACTTTTGGCTTCAGCACTATACTTTGCTTGACATGCTAAGGTATCCCTGTTGGAAGAATGGTGGTGGCTCTGTCTAATTTTTATGTATTCAGTTTGTTCCCCAACTGAGACAGTATGCTGTTTTAGACAATGAGGAAGTGACAAGGCCAAAGACGTTTTCTGTGATCTAAATACTGTAGGAATACTGTTATATCTGGAGACTTTGAACATTGTAAGAATGATCTGCAGTGTTAATCTATACTAATACAGCACTAAACTTGAAAATCTGGAGTTGCCGCCATCCATCACCATGATTAAGCATGCAGAATTGCCTTAAACTTCCCTTGGCCGGATTTTTGTGTGTTTATTTGTTTTGTTGGGTGTGTGCATGTGTGTGTGTGTGTCCATGTATCTATGTGTGCATGTGTGTGTGCACGCGTGCGTGTGTGTTTGCCATAATGTGCATGTGGAGGTCAGAGGGCTGCTTTTGGGAGTCATCTCTCTCCTTCCACCATGTGGGTCTCAGGGATCAGATGAGGTTGTCAGGCTTGGCTGCAGGGATCTTAACTGGCTGCCCTACCCAAACGTATGACCCCACTAGTCCTCTCTTAACATGTTTCTTCCTTAGTCAGTCAGTTCATAGACATTTGTTCTGACTGGAGATATTGGCTATATAATTGTTTACATTTATTTTTTGATGTTATGATAAATAAAGGATCCTCAAAATCTGGTATTCCCATGTAAAGTAGAAAATCCAAGCTGGTATCTTGAGTGTAGTTAGGGCTAAGTGTTACTTCAGAGCTTAAAAGTTAGCTTACAGATGTGCTTGGAAAGGTTGCAAGCATAAAGCCACTGTTGGTAACAACAGTCAACACTGAACCTGTAAAAATGTTTAAATATCCCATGTCACAGTTGTCTGCAAGTAGTAAAGCATTTTTTACAGTTTTGAAAATGATTGGATGCCTTTAATTTTTTTTAAAAAAATTTATGTCTATGGGGGTTTTGTCTGCATTATGTCTGTACACCATGCATATACCTGTCACCCTCAGAAGCCCTGGAACTGGAGTTGTAGACATTTGTGATTTGCCACGAAGGTGCTGGGAATTAAATCCAGGTCCTCTGGAAGAACAGCAAATGCTCTTAACTGCTAAGCCATTTCTCTCCAGGCTCCTGGATGCCTTTGCTATCTGCTGTTTACTATAAGCTGTTAAAGTTGTCTCTTTGCAAATCATAATTCCATATCCTTGATACGATGTTATTCATTTTATCATCAGGTGTGCCACCTGGTCCTGCCTATGGGAAGCTGAAAAATGGAATTTCTGTTGTTTTGGATAATGGAGTTACAATTTCTCCCCAAGATGTCTTAAAAAAGCCTATGGTTGGAAGAAAAATCTGCATCCTGGGTGACTGTTCTGGGGTTGTGGGGGATGGGGGAGTGAAGCTGTGCTTTGAAGCAGACCTGTTGATCCACGAGGCGACTCTGGATGATTCCCAGATGGACAAGGCGAGAGAGCATGGCCACAGCACACCACAGATGGCAGCCGCGTTCGCAAAGCTGTGCCGTGCAAAGAGGCTAGTTCTGACTCACTTCAGTCAGAGGTACAAACCAACCGCCTTAGCTAGAGAAGGGGAGACAGACGGCATCGCAGAACTGAAAAAGCAAGCTGAGTCCGTGTTGGAGCTCCAAGAAGTGACTCTGGCAGAAGATTTTATGGTGATTGGCATTCCCATCAAGAAGTGAAGCCCACGCTCCTGAGTGCATAAGTGTGGACATGGGATGGATGTATTACCAGACCTGCACTACACGTTTTTTTTGTTGTTGGTTGTGAGTGATTTTTTCCCTTAAAATTACTTTGGCCTATTAATCCTAAAGATGGAGCTGGATTGTTGAGCTGACTCAGTAGTGAGAGGGACCAAGATTTTCAACAATGAGTCATTTTTAAAAGATGAAAAAATTTAAATAGTTTAAATTCTAAATATGAAAAATCCTTCTTAAAGTGAAGATGTGACAAAATAATTCATTGTGCAGGGTACTTATTTTGTGGCTATTGCTACAGATAGAGTTCAACACTCTGTGCAGTGTTGGATATAGCTTTGCCCAGCTTAGTTGCCATTACTGGCAAAATATATAGGACTGGGTCACTTGGCTACAAAAGTAGTAGCAGAATTTGTATAGAATTTGTGTTCCTGACACAGAGATAAATGTATGGGGCAATACACGTGCAGTATTGATAACATGGTGGTGGTTTCGATGAAACAGTCAGTGCAGGTTTGGACTAAGTTTTATCTTAGCATTTTCTTCAACAGTCTGGTTTCTTTTAACACATGGTCCTGGGTAGTCTACTGAGAATTAGATATGTTGGGATTGTTTTTCCTGTTTCCTCCATCACTACAGAGGGGAGATGGTGACAGCACAGTAGTTTAGTCAGTGGGGGTCAGGAATGCCATCTATGCTGCACAGTTTGCGTTAGTCCTGAATAATAATTACCTCAAAGTTCTAGGTCTGTTCAGAGACACAAATTAAAAACCTTTATTCCCAATGTGAATATGCTCTGCCAAAGTTAATAATATACTGGATTTAATTAATAGACGAGCCAGCTCCTCCAATAGGAGGTAAAGGATGTGCATGTTAGAGTTAGGTGCCACATCAGGTATTATTTGCAAAAATGAGTCATCAAGTGATTCTTACAGATGTGGCAAGAGACAGTCACCTCCACCCCAGGGAGAGCCTGCCTCAGGCCTAGTGGTCCTGAGCTGCAGTGTGAGTTGAGTGTGGAGTTGGATAGAGAGCTGCTGCCTCTGCTTCCAGAGACTAAGTTAGGAGGTCAGAGTGGACCCGACACTGTGTTGCTAAGCTGCCTGGGTGATTCTGAAAGACATGGATACTGAACTAGCCTAGGAGAAAAAAACTGTCTTTTTTTTTTCTATGTATTTAAATTGAGGGTATATATATTTTATAGATTCTTATATATATGTTTGTGTATTATATACTTTATGCATGCATATTTTTACATGAAGGCTGACCTCCCTCCACTATTTTCCTAAAGCAAAATAAAGATATTTTATTGGACAAACAAAAGCTAGGAGTTTATTATCAGAAAATCCTCTGTAAGAAATTGAGAGGCATTATTTTGGCACAATAAAAAGAATGTTGGAAGGTTGAGAAACCATAAAGGGGCAAAGAGACAGGTGTTCTGGAGGGACACTGACTGCAGGGCCCACCAACAAGGCCGGACCAACGTTCTCATTAGCATCACATAGTCTCTCAAAGTGCGGGACTTCGTGTCATTCTAGAGTTGTATCATGTAATAATGTCTTTATCTCTGAGCACTGAGGTTGTTTTCTGTGAGTAGAAGTAAACCTGACGTGAGGTTCTTGTGTTCAAATCTCTATCTCCGAGCAGTTCCTCCTTTCTAGTACGCTGTGTTAATAACATCTTAGTTAGGTGTGGTGGCACAAGCCTGTTACCTTGCCATTGGCCAGGCTAAGGCAGGAAAATATGAGCCTGGGATACATAATAGAACTTTATCTTTAAAAAAAAAGACAGAAAAAGCTAAATGTGACTTGTAACATATTTTCATGTTCATTCACATTCTTCACTGCCACACAGGAGTGGCCTGCTTTATTCTATTGAAGATATGACTTCATCAACTTAAAGACCTAAGTCCTACCCTCTCTTTCATCTCTCCCTGTTTTTAACAAGGTCTCACCATGCAGCCCAAACTGGCCTGAAGCTTAAAGCACTCCAGCTTGGGAGCTGGGGTTATAAACATGTGTTTATTATCTGCCCATAATATTTTGAATACTTCTTTCCCAAGAAAATGTTACAATTTTTAGGCTGGGAGTGTAGCCTGGTGGTAGAGCACTTGCTTCCTTTTGATCTGTAGTATTAAAAAGGAAGATGATTTTTGCCTCCTGGTACAATTATCTTTAATACAGATAATTCAACTCTTTTTTTTCTCTAAATATTCTGATGTCAGCTTGAAATTTTGCTACTTTTTCCCTTATTAATGAAATAAGAGTCCTTCCCAAATGTGTCTATCCCAAATGGATGGTGATGGTACTTTATCTCACAAAGGTATATGTTTACAGTAAAATGAACTAGATCTGTCTTTACTGACAGATTTGAGGACTAGTGAAATGGAGATTAATAGGAGTATTGACCCCCTTCTTTCTCTTTCTTCTTTTTTCCTTTAAGATTGGGGTCTCATGTAGCCCAAGGCTAGCTAGCCTTGAATTTGCTATGTAGCCAAGGATGACCTTGAATTTGTGATGCTTCTGCTTCTATGTCCAGAATGCTGAGGTAACCGTCTTATGTCACTATGCTGGGTCTATGTGATGCTGAGCATGGAGCCCACGCTAGGTTTACTTGGTGCTGAGGATGGAGCCTAGGACTCCATGCTTGCCAAGCATCCCAGAGCTCAAGTGTGTGGGGCTTTGGTTTGGTTTGGTTTTTAGGGGATACTAAAAAGGAAGCACTGATGCACCTTTGAAAATTCTTTCTTGACAGAAAAGAACTAAGTCTAAAGGGAAACTGTGGGATAATAGTGTGTAATTTTTCTTTTCTTCGGTGTACAAAAATGAAAAACAACTATTTAAGCACATTATGTTTTAAAAAGCAAGAGAAGTAGCTAGAAATGTAGCTCAGGGGTAGAACAGTGGGTTAGCCTGAGCAAGGTCTTGGGCTTGATCCCCAGTGTCTCTATTGACCCTCCTCCCCCACCAGAAAAACAAGGGGGAAAGAGAGGGAACATGAATGGTTAAGAGTGGATTCAGATTACAAGAATGTATAAAAATGTAATGATGAAACTCTTTCTGTATAGTTAATATGTACTAATAATGTTTTTTAAGTGGAGAAAGAAGCCTTGGGAGAGAACGGGCAAGAAGTAGGGGAAGCAAGACAGGTTGCCGCTTCTGTGGCTTTATGTATCACTAGTACAATGGATGTTCTGACGGAGTGTATGTATATACTCATTTAGTACAGTGGTTATGTCATAGCACATCCATACAGATAAGCTCCTCTGGATAACTCGTCTCCACGTAGATACTCCAGGGAGCTGACCGGTCAGGTCTCTGCAGTATTCCTGTTCATCATCTGTACTACAGCCAGTGGGAGGTTTTTCCCAAGATGTAAATTTTTGCCATTTTTCCCAGGCTTGAAACTTAGTAGTAGTCTGGCTTTACCCACCTCTCTAGCCTAATCTTACCCCCCAGTGCTACTCAGGTTTGCTGTCCTGGCCTCAAGGTCTTCTGATGTCACAGAGCTTTGCAGTGGCCTACATCCTTCTCCTGAAATGGCATTTGCCATTCCCCAATCACCCTAGTGAACCTTTGCGTCTTAGCTCTGCTTTCAAGGCCTCGTGGAAGTCTGCCTGCCCAAGTCCTGCTAGGAAGTGTATTTTCTCAGCCCCTCAACCCATCTTCCTCACACTTGTCGGTCACAGCTTTGTTTTGCCTCTGTATGTGATGTTTTTCCTCCATACCAGCTCTGTAAGCCACACAAGGTCAGAGCTCTGTCTGCTTCTGTTCCCTTTATGACTAACTCAGTGCCTGGAACATCAAAGGCATTCAATAAAGAGTGTTGACTGGGTCATATTTTCTTGTCCTGTGATTTTGTTAATATTTAGGACTGCGTTATCCAGTGGATGTTTTTTCCTGATTCATGTTAAAAACACACAAAATACACAGACCTAATCTCTGACACAGAGGAGGAGGAGCAAATGCCTGCCTATGACTTCAGTGGGCAAATCCTGATAGATAACAGTTTGAAACTTTAGTTTGGTGTTCTAAGGTATGGAGACAAAACCCTAGAGTCAGGGAAAAGATTAGGAAAAGTTTTTCTCTACCTAAGAAGTTGGATACTGGCTTCTGCTATGTATAAGGGTATTAGAGCAAAGGAAGAAAGGGGAGGCTGAGCCTTAGGCAGAGTCTGGAACCTGCACAGGGTAGAGGAGCAGTCTACCCACCTCATCCCATTGTTCTTTGTTGTTTTGTTTTAAGAAACAAGAAAATAATTTATAGTAGCTGTGACCTGGCGACACTGGTGCTGACCCAGGCTACCTTGAGTGGTGTGTTTTATTTCTAGTCTTGTTTCTCAAAAGGAAGTCCTAAACTTTTGAGTCTGCTAGGTCCATGTTTAGTGAATTCCTTCCCAATGCTGCACAACACTAATTGAGAGCAAATTCTTAATTCCATGTCCTGGGGAAGATGGCCAGCAGCAGGGAAACAAGACAGTCCCCGCTGGAGAACAGTTTACATCAGATGTAGTCAGAGGTAAGTGACCAGAAGGTTAGGGGAGGTACAGCGATACCAACTCAAACAGCTGGCCAATTGCATTCACATCTAAAGGACAAGGTAACTCTAATTGACACCTAGACTCGGGTGTTTCTGTGTTTTTGATGGACTCTGAGGGTTAAGTAAAGCTGTTATAATCAAGATTATAAGGAAGTTGGGGTGCTTAAGTTTACTCAAAGGGGGAAAAAAGAAAAGAAAGAAAAAAATTCCACCCCTAAATAAAGCTAACTGAGAAGCCCTGCTGCTCAGATCCTGCCTGCTAATTATACACTCAGCAGACATGGCAGGTACAAAGATTAAATTCACCCACAAAAAAAAAAGTGTCAGGGAAAAGTGAGGGATCAAGTTTTTCAGCAATATTAATCCCCTTAGCTGCCAGAAGCTCTGCAGACAGCCAGGGGCAGAGCTAAGCAGTGTTTAGTTCCCTGTTACCCAGTTAAACAAGGTCATCTGGTCCAGGTTGTTTTCTACATTGTTGTGACTTCCAGTGATGATAGGTTAGTCTGACTATATCTCTTCCACACGTCTGGACTGGAGTTGAACATCTCGAAGCATCTAGGTCTGGGTCAGCAACCCAAGTGCTGACCTGTCTCGCCTGGGGCCTTGATACATTTGTATAGCTAGCAGAGACTAAAACACAATCCCTTTCTCCAGTGAGGCAGTGCTACCTAGGACAATGGTCTTGGCACTAGCAGACGTTCCTGAAATACGCAGGCATCCTATCTTCTGAGACACTCTAGCATCGGTCTTCCTGAGAACCAGGAGAGGCAATGCCATGCTAGTACTGTGGTGCTGTCAGCATGGAAACCTTCCAAGTTACTAAAGACAATGAAAACACGCACTGGTACCGAGGCTCAAATGTGAAATGATCCGGTACTTTCCAATTTGTTATTTAGAAAAAAATTGAGGGAGAATGTCCTGTATTACACGGTTTGAATTTTGTTTGGTTTGGTTTGTTGGTTGGTTTTTGTTGTGCTGGATATTAAACTCATAGTGATGTGTTGAAGACGGGCAACTTCACTGAGCTACAATCCAGTGGACAACTATCACTACCACCAGTTTTAGGATATTTTTATTATTCTCCAGAGAAACCCCATAATTCTGCCAGTCAGTCAACCCCACTCTTCACCTTACCTTCCCAAGCCCCCGAGCTATGGGAATCATCGGATCTATTTTCTGGCTAATTCTGAGCATCTCATATGAATACACTTGTACAGCATGATCTCTTTTATAAATGGCTTCTTCCATTTAGCATGTTTTCAGTATGCATCCCATCAGTAATTTATTCTTTTTACGACTAAATAATACTTTGTGGATATGCTGTATTTTATTTATCTGTTCTTCAGTAGATCAGGGATAGATTATTTTGAAATAGTTTTTTATAGAATACCTCTATTAGGAATGTAAAAGGGGATATTGGTACAGACAGTATAAACTTTAATATGATAAAAATAATCCCATAAATAATTTTTATATTAGGTAAAATTACTAAAGCAACTTTTGAAGGTAACAAAAGTTGAGAGTTGACTGTGGTGGTGTGTCTTGGTGTTCCTGGCATTTGGGAGGCTGAAGCAGGGCCAGCTTGTGCTACATAGTCAAACCCTATCTCAAAAAAAAAGCCCAAACAAAACAACCAACAAGAACACAGGCCAAAGCAAACTCCCCTTCCCTCCCAAACTGTTAGATACATGTGGTAGTGTTTGCCTGTAGTCCCAATTACTTGGGGGAGGTCTGGAACCCATGAGTTTCAGGACAGCTATGCCAACATAGTAAGACCCTGTCTCAAAAGTTAAAAAAAGAAAAAAAAAGAAAAGAAAAAAGAACCTAAAACACAGCTTACCAGAACTTATACATTACTTTAAAAATAGTTGAAAGTACATAGTGTGAAATTTTCAAAGAATTCATAAGAATATTATTTCAAAAAGTTGAATTTATGGCTAAAAATCTTACCAGTTTTTCTGGGCTCCATTAGTGAATTAGTCTAAAGGAAGAAACACACCTTCCTTCCACAGATATTTCTAGACGGTAGAAAAAAGGGATCCTGTCCCAACTCATTTTATGAGGTCAGTATAATCCAGATGATGTCAAAATGGAAGGACATTAAAAGAAAGGTCAATTACATGCTAATCTTCCCCATAAAACCCTGAAGAAAATAATTAGCTAATTGAATCCAGTGACATATATTAAGAAAGACATCTTTGTAAGGGAAGTTCATTCCAGGAATGCAAAGTTTGTTTGGCTTTAGAAAATCACTTGTATTCATAGCAACAAAAGATGAGAGAGGATAGCAAGATGATCTCCACAGACCTAGAACTTAACACTCATTTAGAGTAAGAATTCCGATCATATGAAGACTGAGGAATGCCTTTATCGTAATAAGTAATATCTGGAAATGAAGCAAATGCTATACCTACTAATAAAAACTTTGTCTCTAAGAAACACTTACGGATGCCCACTTGGTACCATACACATAGTATAGTTCCCTTTATTTTCATTGTCCCAGCTTTATTATGACAAAGATGGGGACAATCCCCACCTGAGCAGGGAGCTCTTGTTCCTGGAAAGCCCCACTGGGAGAGTCGCACAGGACCCCACTCCCCATTCTCAGGTCTCTAGAACCTCCTGAGGAAGGTACAGACAAGCAGGGCCTCTGCACACAGGCACCACCAGATAGCACCTGTACTCCGGCTGGAAGGGATGTAGGAGGTGACAGATCAGTCCAACCTGGGAGGTGAGATGTTATCGCAGATCTTTTTTTTTTTCAAGAGCAGGACCCCAGCTGCTCCTCTGAGAAGGAGACCTGCTCTCTCACTGAATTGATATGATCCAGCTGCTGGAAGGAGTGGGCCAGCAGGCTGCCAGGGCCATGCTCTGTGGCCAGTGGGGCCAGTGCCAACTGCAGTTTCTGCTCTAGCATGTCAACCCAGGACTGTACCCTGGGCACCTCCTCCTTCACCACATTGTCCACTCCGGTTGTAGGGTTTGAGGTCACCAGAGAAGGGGCTCCCTGGGCAGGCAGAGCATCCCATCTGTAGATGGGCTTTGCCCCTCCCAACACCGGCATCAATAGTTGCCCATAGTATTGACATAGTGCTGGGGAACAACTGGCCTCTTCAGAGCTGCATTCATTCACAGCTGTGTGGCAAGCATCTCCTTGACACCACACAGGGCAATGACGGTGATCTGAATGGATTCAGCTCCCTCCATTTCCACATGGAGGCTGGCAGGCTGCTGTTCCCCAGTCCCTAGAGTGAACCCACTGGTCCTCTTCCAACCAGGGCAGCAGACATAGGGAAGGCTGGTGGGAGTAGTCCCAGGGTTGCAGAGATAGGCAGCCTCGAAGATGTTTTGGACTGTGCTTCGAGCTCAGTGTCCACTGTAAGTGGTGAGGAAAGGCTTGTGTTCACGCTGCACAAAGGACTCCAAGACAGGGCCTCTGGAAACCCCCATGGTACACACTCTGTGGTCTGGACCTGTAGACATGCTCAGTACCACCTGCTGCCAACACTAGAAACCATGCCACAAGCGGCTCTTGGGAGCTCCACATGGTCTGCGTCTCTAAGTGGGGTAGCTTTCTTCGTTTGGTGTCTGAATGGCCCTGGGCATGCACCACAGTGTAGTTCCTTAAATGTCATAGCTAGTACAATAAAATAAGATCTAAATAAATAAATAAGAACTAAGAAGAAAGGAATAAAACGGTCATTGATGGCAGATGATCTAATTACATGGGTAGAAAGTCTGAAAGAATTAAACAAATAATCTATAAGGATTAATAAATGACTTTACCCAGGTTGTTGAACATAGTTAACATGAAAATAAAGTTTACGTATAATATACAGGAAGAAAAAAGCCCTATTTGCAAAAGCTATGACTTAGAGTAAAAAGTGAAGTCTGCTTTTTCCAACGCTTTCAGAGGGCGTATGAACAAGAGTTTGAGGGTCACTGGTGTAATGCATGAAATCATAGGCGTTGACAGCAGTCTGTGGTGTGGCTTTGGATAAATTACTTCATCGCTCGTGGCTTGGTTTCTTTGCCTATAAAGATGGGGGAGCAGCAGTATTCTGATGAGTATGCTGTCATGATGACAATGACAAGTGCTTGGGACAGAGAGTGCTGTACAGAGACCCAACTTTATCAACGTGGAACCTGAGGTTTTATCTGCTTATTCTCAGGAAGTTTTGGAGGTTGGCTGAGAGAGTTCCACCAGCCTGCAGTGTTCAGGAGACAGCGTCTACAACCCCCTAGCTGGAGGAGGTCCATGAAGAACATATTGTTTCCCATCTGGGTTAAAGCCTCCAGCC